AGGAGAATAAACACATATCCATCTGTAAATAAACCCTGGACGGCAGCTTGGATTCCCACTCACCTGCATCAAGTCTTTGGGCTTTTACACATGTCTGTCTTTAGAACCGGTCCTCACCCACCCACACCCCTTTTTAAATATTTCCCAACAGGAAGGGGACCAGGAGTTGAATGTGACATTTTCTGGTTTCCTTCTTTCATCCTCCGCCTTTTCTTTTTTGGCTTGATTTTTCAAGCAAACATCCCAGTTTAAACAAAAGGGGAAAGGAAATGTGCCAGTTCCACAATTTGGGGAGAAAGCAGAGAGGTTTAGAAAATCCTGCTCACCCCACCCCAAGGTTTTCAGTCTTAGACCACTTTGTAGGAAACCAACTCAAACTCTCCCCTCATGTTCAGCCAAGAAGACCCTCAAAGAGGAGGCTGGGATGAAGGAAAGGACTCTGACGCCTCTCCTCCCACCCCAAAATAAGACCCCCAACCCACCCACCCCAACAGGTCAGCTTTTTGGAGGAGGAGGGGGTCCCGGTTCCCAACACTGAAAGACAGAGGGCGGGACACAATTTTCCACGCTGCAAGATGCCCTCCTTCCCAAGGAGACATTAATATCCACTCTGAAAGGGGCAGACAGACTAGGGGCATGTGGGTGTGGGGGTGTTTGTGGGTGTGGAGGAGGAGAAGGGGAGGGCATTTGTGCCGGGGGGGGCACATACAAAGGGAAGCCTCATCTGAATTGATCCTCTTTTTGGGTAGGGAACAGGAAAACGAAGGACATAGAAAATTTAACTTTCTGGGACTACGACTCCCAGAATCCCCATGCTTTCTAGAGGGAGGGGGCTCTTGGTTTTGTAGTCAAAAAAAGTAACCTTCCCAGCCTCTAGGAAAGAGGGAGGTCCCAGCTGGGGTGCGTGCGAAGAAGCAGCACCTGGTTTTCTTTCCAGTCGTGACCTGGCCTGGCATCTCCAGTACTGGGGGGGGGAATCGCTGGCCAGGTTCCTCGAGGTCCTCCAGTCTGACCCCTTGACCAGACCAAGGTCTGGCAACGTCCGCACCCCATGCCAAGAAGACTCTGCCTCCAGATTTTGCACACCTGTCTCCCGAGATGGAGAGGTCGGGAGCTTCCGTCCGTCCCGTGCTCAAATTATTCATTTAAAGAAAGGCTGTTTCCATAAGGTTTTGTTGGTAGAAAAGTCCTTATGTGACGTTCCTCATGTCATATAAAGGATGGATGGATGGATGGATGGATGGATGGACGGACGGACGGACGGACGGATGGACGGATGGACGGATGGATGGATGGATGGCCAGCTGGCAGAGAGACAGATACTTTATTATGATCAATGACCAATATCCAAAATTGGTCATATATATATATATATATATATATATAACACACAATATCAAAAAAGCACATACATACATATAACTAAAATCTTGTTCTTACTAGCAATGTTTCTCTGGAATAATCCCCAATAATATCCAAAATTGGTCATATATATATATATAAAACACACAATATCCCAAAAGCACATACATACATATACCTAAAATCTTGCTCTTACTAGCAATGTTTCTCTGGGATAATCCCCAAATGGAGTCACTGATTCAAGGACCTCTCACCTCCCTGGTCTAAGAAGGTGCATTTTCATATTTCACATATTTCTCTTGGTCCCAACACTTTCATAGGTGCACTTGATGGGGACCCAGGAGACGGCCTTCTCTGTGGCTGGTCGCAGACTGTGGAACTCCCTCCCACTGGGGGGCCAGGCTTGACCCATCTCAGCTGTCCTTCCACAAGCAGGCAAAGACTTTTCTCTTCAGGCCAGCTTTCCCTCCGTGACTGGCTGCCAGGGTGAGCTTTTTTAATGGAAGGCTGTGCCTTTTATTGCTTTGGATGTGTTCTTGGTGTTGTTTTGTTTACATTTTCTAAAAGTGGTATTTGTTTGATCCTTGTTAGCATGTATCTAGTCCTTGTTTTTAAGCCTTACATATTGTCTGTTAATGATGTAAGCCACCTTGGGGGCTTTTTTTAAGGAGAAAGGTGGGGTAAAAGTATTTTTAATAATAAAAAAACCCCATAATTTATCTAGGAAGGAAAGAAAGGTATTGAAGGGGCTGCTTTTGAAGATAGATTTGGAAGCTGAACCTGGGAACCTGGGATGACACATCATCCAATCAATGACCTCCTAACCAACCAACCAAGAACCTTTGTGTCATCTTGGAGACGGTCAATTTAGAAAGGCGTTCTGTGTTGGCAGATGGGCATCATCTCAACCAGAAGGACAAAGAGTTACTCGCTGCTAAGCAAAGATGTGTTTTCTTTCTCATTTGCCTTTCTTCCAACCGCACATGTTTTCTCTTCCTTCTCCCTGTGACCTGACAAACCACAGACCTTCGAGGTAGGTCTAGTGGAAACAGAGTCATGGGGACCAGGGACGAACTTTGCATGAAAAACTGAGGTTTAACCATCTGCCTCTACTTGGCAGAAGAAAGAATCCACCATTTCTCAGAAATCCACGTTTTCAAGCTCTGGAGTATTTGCTGCCAGCCAGAGCCCAGCCATACTGGGCTAAATAGACAGAATGGTTTATTGTCTCTGACAGCTAAGCAGACTTAGGCCTGCTTAAGTCCTTGCAGGGGTGATCTCTGGGGGTGAGTGGGCTGCTTTGAGGTAGAATCCTGCTTCAAATCTTAGAGGGCAGATGCGGCTGCCAGTCAGAGCCGACCAAACTGGGCTAGGTGGACCAGGGGTCTGGCTTGGCCAAAGTGAGCTTCTTAGTTTTCACCCGGCTGGAGAAATATAAGTCTACAGCCTTCAGAGTTAGGGGAGAGGAGAGACTTCAGCCTGCCTCTCTAACCACTCCACAGCACTACCAGGTTGCAGGAAAACTCTTTCTTTCTCTCCAACAAACACTGTTGCAGGGACAGGCGTTAGCAGACAGTATCCTTTTTTAAAAAGGATTTGGGGGAAGGAGGTAGAGATTGAAGTGGGAAGAAGCCAGCCCCCTGCCCCATGCCCTTCCTGGAGGTAATGCCCACCTGCAGCTGGGTCTGCCTGGCCTCCTTCTCCTTTGGAGAAGAAAAAAGAGGGGGTTGCATGGATGGGGAAGCTCTGGGGAGGGGGGTGCATGCGTGTGTGTGCACGCTGTGACTGTTCATTGGCATTCCTTACCTCCCTCCCCGTCACCACCGCCGCCCACCCCCCTCCACAGCCTAGGAACATCTGGGGGTTTTGTCTGCTGCACCAAAGCGAATCGGCTATTATGGGAGGTGGTGGCGGGTGAATGGGTCCCCTTGATGGGAGGTGTGGGCCTGGAGGGGCAAGCCTGGAGCGAGGAGAATTGGGGCTACGCCTCCCCTCCCCAGCCCATTTCCCACGTGCGCTACTTGGGAAACACCGACACCCTCCCTCCCTCTTGCCCCAACCCCCTCTTCCCCATCCAAAATCAAGAACCAAAAAGGGCCGAGCCCTTCCATGGGGGGGGGGGGTCCTGGGGAAACATGCCTCCATCGGTGGCAATCCAGAACAAGAATCTTGTGGCACACGGAGGCTGACCACGTTGGACCAAAGAGCATCCGAAGAGGCCAAAGGAGTAAGGATGTGGTGGGTCTCTCCCCCCCCCCAAATCCTCTTCTCTCCAGCTGAGGATCAGCTGGTGCAGACAAAGCAGGCCAGTGGCAGTCAAACAGGGAAGGGCTCATTTGGGACCCATGGAATGAGGGCAGGGGGTTAGCCGTGGGGCAGGGAGTGAGGAAATGGCCAGTCCTTAATGGTTTAACAGCCCATTGTGAGCCTGGATCCCTCTTTTCTCTGCTTTAATGGGACATGTGCTCCTGCCTGCTTCCAGACAGAGCTGGCCCAAGGACACACTGGGGGTGGGGGGAGCGTGGTGGAATTCACTCCACCAGTGCCAGAAAAACAGAATTGTGCCCACGTTCAGAGAAAAAGAGGGAGAAGCTGTCCAGAACAAGAATTTGGGGGTGAGGGGCTGTTCCCATTCTCCCCGCAGGAGCCTTCCAGACCACCCAGGAATGTGCCTTGCCCATGGGGTGGACTAGATGATCCCTGGGGGTACTTTCCAGGTCTGTGAATCCCTCCCCTCTTCTCTTTCCCCCTTTGGCTTCCCCAGCTTGCTGGATGGGGGATTTTGGAACCTGTAGTCCCACACCTAACTTCTCCTGAGTCTGGTTTCCAAACTAAGTCTCCTGAGAGGAAGATCTCCTGAAATGGATGACTTAGAGCCCAGCATTTGATATATATTTGGGGGCGACGACCTGCCTTCTATTTTTCTCCCTCCGGCTCTTACCCCTCCCGCCCACCGCTCTGCCTCCTCCCTCCCCCCTTTTTTGGAGGGGGCAGGAGGAGGCGCCCCGGCTTGAATGGGGCCATTGACATGGAAAGCGAGGGAGCAGATAAAATGCCCTCCTCTTGGCGCCCGGGCTGGGCAGAGGAGGAGAGATGGGTACAGACTACAGACCTCCAGAAAGGAGAGCCCTCAGCTCCTTCCGCAAGGTGGGTGGCTCCAGAACCCCAAAAAGGGAGTAAGCGCAGTGGGGTGTCATCCCATTTCACCCCTCATGTGGGGAAGCAGGAGGAAGGGAGCCCCTTCTATGCCCCACAGGTGCCCATGGTGGCCGGAGAGCCGTGCCCTGTTTCCAACATTAGTTTTGGGGGGGGAGTTTTAAAAAAGTCAGTAGTGCCTCTGGGCATACCCAGAGAGCACTTGCCACCTGGCAGAAGGAGCAAGCCAGAGACCCCACCTCCTGGCTTCTAGAACTTTGATGGGAAAACCCACATCCTCCCTCAATCCGCTGGCCCGAAGGCACTCTTGGTATGCTCAAGGAACCTTGGTTCTATTCTGAGTCCACGTGTGCCAGGGTTAAGGGCAGACCTGGGAAAGATGGGCTCGGGCTGGCCCCTTCCCACCACCCCTCTCCCCAGGCGTCCCAAATTTTCCTGGGCCTTTAAGGTCGCCTTCCTTGCGTTTCGCCAGGTATCGAAGCCGCTCATGGAGAAGAGGAGGCGGGCGCGCATCAACCTCTCGCTGGAGCAGCTGAAAGGACTGCTGGAGAAACACTACTCGCATCAGGTGAGGTTCCATCCTAGGCGACCGCTCCCCTTGACTTAAAAAAAGGTGGGGAGTGAAGGAAGGAAGATGGGAGAACCAAGGGAGGGGATTAAATGAGTCAAAACAACTCAAAAAGAACGAAAACCGCTATATTTGGGTCGTGGCTTTGCTTTGGAAGAGCAGGAAATGAATGAAATGAGGGGACTTAACTAAGGGCTTCCTGGGAATGATTTGGCCCCTTCTCATTCTGCTCCCTGACAAGGGACCCTGTGGGTTATCAAGTTTAGCTCCTGTCAAGGAGGCCCAGTAGGGAATCGAACCCCCAACCTCAGGGAGCGAAACTGCGGAATGATCTAGCGTGTTCGCCTTGGCGCCTGGCAGAATCCAGGCAGGGAGGATTCCAGGTGAGGCAAGGGGTTCCTGCCCCCGTCTGCGGGTTTGAGGTGCAGAAAAGAGGTCACGGATTCTTTGGGAGGGGAAAAAAAAAACCTAATAGAATCTCGTTGCAGATCCGGAAACGCAAGCTGGAGAAGGCGGACATCCTGGAGCTGAGCGTCAAGTACATGCGGACCCTCCACCCCCCTTCCCAAGGTAAGGGAAGGCTCCGAAGGAAATAAATCCCTTGTTTGGGTCTTTCGAAAAGCTGGCTTTTAATCGGTTAATTGGCCCAACCAGTTGAGTTGGGGAGGCTGAGCAGAAGCCAAATATTTGGAGAGAAAACGCACCGCGCCTCGGAGTTGCTCAGATCCGTGTTGAAGGAGGCGTCGCTTTAAAAGATCAGACGCGCCCCCATTCACCCCAAACACGCCAGCAAGAATTCACCCACTGTAATATTTTGGTGAATTCTCGGCTGCAAAATAAATTACATTTGGAGAACATCTGTTGGCCCAGCACCGCGGGGGTGCGGTGTGTGTGAGAGAGCGTGCGCCTCTGTAAACACGAACCCACCAAAGGATCTGCATAGGGCGACACTTGGAGAATTGTGGGGTGTCCCGGAGTCTGCCCGCGTCCACGAAAGGAAGGACTAAGATTGGGATTGGGGGGGGGAGTCGCGTCTGGGTCCCTCTCTCCCCCCCGCCTCGCTCAGAGCCGGCCTCTCTCCTCCTCTAGGGCTCCCGGCCACCAAGAGCGCCGACTTCCAAGCCGGCTTCCGCAGCTGCCTGCAAGGCGTGCGCCAGTTCCTGCTGCGCTCCGACGCGGCTCCGCCAGCGCGCGGGAGAGCCCGGCCGCTCAAGCCCCAGCCTCGGGGGCCCCGGGAGGGAGAGGACTCAATCCCCTTGAGAGCAAGCTGGAGCCAGGCCCCGAGCGGGCAGGATCGCCTCCCCCAAAGTGGCCACCCTCTCTGGCGACCTTGGTAAACCGTGCGCCCGGCCGGTGCGCATTCCTGGTGCGCCCTGGGCGCACGCTGCCGCCGCCGCCCCTCTGAGCGCGGTGACTGCAAGCCTTCGGAGGTTCATCCGAGGATCAGCAGCCCTGCCTCAAGGTGTACAGGATCCGACCACGCTTGACACGGGGTCTACCTCTCCAGTTGCTTTGCCCCTGGGGCCGCTTTCAAGCGCAAAAGTTGCTCCTTCCAGGTGTGTGTGTGGATCACGCCCCTCTGAGCGCGGTGACCGCAAGCCTTCGGAGGTTCATCCGAGGATAAGCAGCCCTGAGAGCGCCCTGGCTTCCCTGCCTCAAGGTGTACCGGATCCGACCACGCTTGGCACGGGGTCTACCTCTCCAGTTGCTCTGCCCTTGGGGCCTCTTTCCTTTAGGACTTGGGGGTAACCTTCTGCTCCTCCCTCAGTTCTCCAATTCTTATCGTCTCAGGACCGCCTGAAAGCATAACCTTGTCTGTAGCTTTTTTAAAGGATCCAGTTTCTGAGCAGTGAATGATTCATTCCCACCGTTTCCTAGCAAACCTCTAGCAGATCCTTTCCTTCTGTAATGCACCTACTTTGATTATTCCATTGGCTGGGAGTTCCAGGGTTCTAAACACCAAATGTCAAATTTAAATGGCAAAATTATCCTGCCCTGAATCTGAATTTTGGCCCCATTGCTGAATTTCTCCCATCTCCATCCTACTTCTATTCCCACCCCCAGTTTTATATTAAGGCTGCTTTCTGTCCCGTCTTGATCAATTTTTGAATGCAGCGCGAGCCACAACAGATTCCATACCTAGAGGCCAAGGATGGGACAAAATGCAGGCTCCTGTGCGTTGCCTGTCCACCTCCACAACCAGCTCTCCCTTTTCATTCGCATTAGGAGCGGGGCTTTAATAAGGCCAATGAGGCTCAATGACCCATACAAGACTGAGCAGCTCCCTTCCAATTTCATATTGCTGCTCAAGTAATACAATACAGGTGCTGCTGGGGACATCCCTTTCCATCCTGACCCAAAGCTACAAGACTGTGGCTGAGTTCAGAGAAGTGGGGACGTCAGAGCTGGTCCCCAACACTATCGTAACACAGGCTGCCTCTCTCACACCCCAGCCTGAGAAGGACCTGGACTTTCTCAGTTCTACAGGAAACAAGAATTAACAAGAGCATGTTATTTCCATGCTCCAAGCATGAAAAGGCAGTACAGAAGGCATGGAAGTATCCATGGAAGATCAGCTCCCAACCCTCTGTGGATGCCGAAAAATGTGGATATAAGGAACTCTATACATTTCATGGTCTCTAACTCCCTCCAGTGGCCAGTTCTGGTAAATACACCCTGGAAATACATATAAATACATATTTCTGGGTTTCTTTATTTAGTATTTTCAGGCGGTGGATAAATGAATCAGCAGATACCAATTCCATGGATAGTGGGGTCCTACTTGTCCACCTCAAAGCTCTTAAAAATGTAGCTTTCCCGGAGGCCTTGGTTTGTATGGACAGAGGTTTGCTTGCCTCTGAAAGAAGTCCTATAAATATATACTGTATATAGATTTGTAACAAGGTGTCTTAAAGAGAATAAATGGAACTAAACTGTTTGGTTGTGGGTGTATTATTTAATTTTCATTGTTATGCTTCAGGCAAAGCATCCGCAGAATTGCAGGACTTTTCTCCTGCTAAATCCAGCCCGGAATATTTGATAGACAAGAAAGAGGCTAGTGTGCGCGCAGAGTGCGTCTCCTCCTCACTAGAAATGGCTGCAGGGCCAAAACTCTGCAATTATGGAGCCCCAGGGGCTTCATCTTTAACTTAGAACTACAGAGCGGGAAGGGACCCTCGAGATCATCCAGTCCACCCCTTGTCAAAGAGGCACTGAGGGGGATTCAAACTCCCCAAATACTGGGAGAGGGGCTTTTGACTTCCTTCATGCCAAGCTCTAAGTCCACCAAGCCAAGTTCTTCTAGCCCATTAGCAAGGGCCTCAAGCTTGGCCGCCATTTTGGAAAACAGCAGTGCTCGGAAGAGTTACTGTCTTCCGGAGTCTGCCCACAGACCACTTTTGACATTTTTCTTTTCAAGTGTCCGTCACCGCTGCCATCGGTATTCTACCGAAAACAACGAATTTCATCCAGTCTTATTCTTTCAAGAGGGGACCCAAGTAAAGCTGGGAGGGAGGAAATGGTGGTCGCTAAAGTTACAATAAAAACCCAGTGTTGTACTCTGGCATCAAGATTTTTCTTCTTTCAAATCTCCTATCACACCTTAGAACTGGAGTGGAAATTATCTGCTGCTGAAGAGATCTGGTCCCATGTCTCTGCCCCCATGGAAAGGAAGTATAAATGTTCCTGTTAGGCTTCTAAATGTGTTTAACAAAATACACAACACAGCTTACTTCCAACATGGATTAACGCACAGAGCTAATGGAGCTTCTGTGCTTAGGTGCAGTCTATCTTAGCAAGCCGCCAACTGGGAGACACACAATTCCGGTGGGTGGAGTCAGGCATTTCTAGGCTCTATCTAGACTTGAGAAACTTGTTCTTTGAACTTTCTCTTTTTAACCACCATCACCCTTCAATAACCTTGGCCGAGCAGAATCATTCTTTGGTTTGAAGTGAGCCCCATGGAGCTTCTGTGCTTAGGTGCAGTCTATCTTAGCAAGCCGCCAACTGGGAGACACACAATTCCGGTGGGTGGAGTCAGGCATTTCTAGGCTCTATCTAGACTTGAGAAACTTGTTCTTTGAACTTTCTCTTTTTAACCACCATCACCCTTCAATAACCTTGGCCGAGCAGAATCATTCTTTGGTTTGAAGTGAGCCCCCCCCCCCCGCCCCCCGCCCGAGGAGAATTAAGGATAAGCACTTCTGGAAAAAAAGGATTTCAGTTGTCATTTTTAATTCAGTCTTTTTACAGAAAGAAACCCTCAAGCGGTCGAAAAAAGAGCAAAATTACAAAGGGCTTGGAAAATCTCCACAAGTGAAAGGTTGGTTCCTCCCCCCAGTTTTAAGACAAATTCACTCGGACGCATATAGCAAAAAGTCATATTTCCACGGTGTGTGAAATGTCACCAAGACCAGGGTGGGGGGGAGCTGAACCAACAGCGAGCTTTGAGGTAAAACTGACATGCACAAAAAGTTTGTAGAAGAAGCCCGAAAGATCAAAAACACCAGTAAACAAAAACACTGTTACCATTAGCTGTATAAATATATTGTTTGGTTTGGTCTTCGACCCTGAACAGCCTTCGTGGAATTCCTTATCCATGGTGGCAACGTGTTTTTTATTTTTTAAAAAATTATTATCCACCCCGGAAAAAAAAAACGGTTAAAAACCGGGGATCCAGTTTCCGAGACGCGGGGATCCTGACGCGGTCGGAAAAGTATTGCCTCGTGATGCTAGAAAGTGTTAAAAAGATACAGTACAAGGAAGGGTTAAGCTTCTCGGTTTTTGACTGCCGTCCTCTGGTTGAAAAGAGAAAGGGTTTCAGAGGGCCGGATTGCCAAGATGAACAGTAAAAGGCCAGCCCTGTTGTTTTTAAACCCTTAAAAGGCACAACATCCTGTCATTTATTTCTATTTTTTTAAAAAAAAAAATTATGGGGAGGCAGAATTTCAAGCGCTTGTAACACACGGGATGGCCGCAAAATGGCGTCCTTTGCAATGGAGGGCCCCTACTCCAGTTCTCCGGCCAAAATCCTCTCAGAAATTCACTCTAGATTTTCCAGTTTTTAATGTTCGGAGAAGCCCAGCGGCTGATTTAACTTTCCCTGTGCCCCTTTCCCATTTTAAAGAGAGATCAGTGAACCATGCCACTTTCTCTGGACCGAAGCCCATGGCCAGATCACTTTTCTCTCCACCAGCTTTCCACCAAGAATCATACAGTGGGCCCAAGCCACATAGGCTGATGTGCGCCATGACACTGATGGATGTTGCCTTCCAAGAATTTCTCTCTGAGCGCCTGTTTCTGACAGCCCCCCCCCAGCTGTGTCTGTTTACAGGCAAGCCAGATCTATAACAAAACAAAAACAAAACAAAAAAACACCTATGTGCTTCTGGTGTGCTAATTTTGATTTTAAGAAACGGGACAGATGAAAAAGATGTGTGCAGGGCACATCTTATATCCCCACCTCGAAATGTGCCTTTGGCTTCTCCTGTGAGACACTCTTTTCGGATTCCTCCCCACCCTCCCCACCCTCGTAGATTTATGGAGTGACTCGAACTCGCTACCATGCTCTGTTTACACTACCCATTTCAAAGTGCAACCCCTTCCCCACCCGCCAGACTCGAGCGCCCTCCACATTCCGACACCACAAAGACACGCATGCAGAAGGACCCCTTCGTTCCGCACGAAGGGATGTGTGTTTTTTTTCTTTCCTTTTCTTTCAAAAGCCCCTGAATTGCAATTGGCTTTTTTCCAGTGACGTCTAAGGACCCCTGCAGAAGATACGAGATGTCTGGAGCCGCCGTAACGGTTGGAACATGAAGTGCGCCAGCTTTGGAGACGAGACGGCTGTGTATGGAGATGTGAATGGCGCCGGTTGGATATTTCTCGGCAAAACTCCTTGGTGGTGAGCAGGTTCGGAGGTTCACCTTCTACCTTCCTGATTTGCCAATGGGCCACCCCAGTCCGTCTCAAGACAGGGCTGAGCTAAAGTTCCTCGCAGTCGAGGACAGATAGGGGACCAGTCCATTTACTTGAGTTATGTTTCCCGTGTGCATGAAAATAGGAACGGAGACCCTGCTTCGCCCTATCTGGTATTTTTCTCCTGCCTGAAAGGCACCAACCAACATCAATACCATTTTCGAAAGAGAAACAGTCAAGAGAGAATGGCTTGTTCAGTAGAAGGTTTCTGCAAGAACATCAAATGAAAACATCTTCTGGATTTAACAAGTACATAGGATTCTCCGAAGAGCACCCATTGATAATCCAAAGCGAACGCAACACATCCGCCTTGCCTACAGCTAAAACACCCCCAGTGAAGGCTCTGATGCAACATGAAAGCACACCTGGATTCATAAAGCACACCAGCCCCTGGCTGCAACCAGACTGACAAACACTCTTGTGGCATCTGAAAGACTACCAAGTTGTATCCACTGACTGTAACCCACATACAACTGAAGAAGAGACCTGTGTGCCACAAAAGCTTCTAACGAATAAAACTTGCTAGCTTCTAAGGTGCCACAGGTCTCTTTGTCAGCTCTGCAGCAACAGGTGCAGCACCTCATCTGGACGCCTCGGTCTGGTTTCAAGATCCTCCAAGGTGGCTGCATCTTCCTTGTTCATTTCTTTTAATCTGGTGGAATGTTTTTGCCGGGAACATATATGGGGCAGCCTGCCCTCTGGTGGCAAGGCTTGGGGATTCCCTGGTAAAGATTGCCACCCCCACCACCCCAACCTGGCTCCTCTCCACTGATATTTACAATTTCCCTCCCTTGGATCTTTGCTGGCCGCTGCTAAGCTTGCATGAAAGAAAAGAAAGGAGAAGAATCTTGAGGACCGGCTGATTGGTTTGGCTGAAAGGGGTGGATCAGGTCAACGTCAGAAGAGACATTTTGAGATGTAGTTTGGTAATGGTGTGTCTATGTGCGTGTGTGTTTAAAAAATATCTCCTGTTAAACAAGCCAAGCGACCCAGCCCTTGCAACTAGAAGTGTAGCAGAGCAGGGAACAAAGCGGCCAGGAGCATTTCTCCCTGTTTTCTACATGCAAGGGTGGATTTTAAAGAAATTTCCAAAATCGTGTGCATGGTATGCTTTTTCCTGAGGTGGCTCTCAAGTTGAGTAAGGGGCACCCAGCTTGCTCCTAGAATCTGGAGGTGGGTTACTGTATTTCCGAGTCACCTCTACAGCTCCCAGTGGGCCCGTCTTCCCTGCCCCTCTCTGGACTCTGCATGTCCTGGCTTGCTAACCAACAAGAAACCACAATTGAACCATTGTGGTTAGAAATCCTGGCTTGTTTTAAAAGCCAAGGTTTGTTGTGACTGGAGAACCTTCAAAAAAAAAACATGGCTTGTTTCCACAGCTGTTCATCCAGAACCAGAAACCCACACAATGAGGGTAAGAGAAAATCAAGACCAGAAATGGGAAAATCAAGACCAAGACATTGGAGTTGGTGGCTCCAGCCCACAACCAACCATGGTGAATGGCGTAAACCATAGCTTATTGTGACACAAAGGCTTCCCCTGGCTTCACATGGGTACGAGGGTATGGAGATTTAACAGACAAAGACGTCATGAGAAGGCAGGGGAAGGTGGTTGACGTACAAAGGCTTCCCCTGGCTTCACATGGGTAGGAGGGTACGGAGATTTAACAAAGATGTCATGAGAAGGCGGGGGAAGGTGGTTGACGCCACACCGCTACAGGTGAGCGCAGAAGCTAAAACCAGGGTGGCCTTCCAGATGTTCTTGGACTACATCTCCCATTAGCGCAGGGACTGGTGACGAGGAAGGCTGCAAGCAGCTGACTCCCTCGGCTACTGGTGCAAAACTTCCGTCCATATCAGCATCGCAAATCGAGCCGAAACTTTAAGCACCGAAGGTTTTTAGATTAACTGAAGAAAGCTCCTTATGGCCAGATTGGGGGGGACGACGAAGGTTTTTAGATTAACTGAAGAAAGCTCCAGATTGGGGGGACGACAATGACTTCGTGTTGCTGATTAATTTAACGACCATGAACGCTAAAGCCAAAACCATTTAAAAACCTCGCACGAATATTCGCTCGCCTTCCATTCCCTGCCTTATTTCCACTGGTGCCCTCATTCCTTCCCTGGGGAAATCTACCGTACCTTTTGCTTCCACCAAGACACACACAGAGATACACCCCACGAGGAAATGAGAGGGGGCTGATGCTTGAAGAGCCGTTTCCTCGTTGAGGGTTTAACCGGAAGAGAAGAGGGATGGCCTGGGACGGAAAGCAGCCCACAAAAGCAGCCTGGCTCACTAGAGTGTGGACTTCTGCGCATGTCTAGAGACACTCTTCGCAAGAGGCACGCAAGAAAAGAATCAGCCGGAGCCAATGCCGAAGAGGCAAGCATTGGAATAGATTTTGGGATAGATAAGCACGGCTCTCGTCACACTCTGGTTCAAAGCCCCTGCGCGTAGGCAGGCAGACACCTTCGGCTGAAGGATTAACCTCTGATTCCTGCTTACCTTGCCCCACACTGGTCAGCCCCACGGCTGCTGAGATGCCACCCCCAAGCACAGAGGGACCCCAAAGCTGACACTGCACCATATCCCCCTCCCAGCCCATTTCCCCATCACACAAGTGAGGGGGCAATGGACAACTTTGCCTTGCAACGCATCCACCGGAGTCTTAACCGATTAACGGGGTTGCCCATTCCTGGGGCACCGACCCAGGGCGCCAAAACCAAGAGGGTGCCAAATGAGAAAGAAACCATACAGGAAGGGCACTAACTAAAGACCCCTTGGTATTTGCTCCTCGATTGGGTGCAAAGCCACCCACGTTGAGCACCCATGCATGCCACCTCCAAGGGATTCTCCCCAGGTGGAAGGAAACGTGAAACGGGGGATGATGGTCAGAAACAGCACGGCGGTCAACATGGGTCCCTATCCGTCTGCCTTTGCCCCTCTTACCCAGAGGGCAGTTCAGCCAGCCACGGGTGCCGAAATGGCTAGTTTACACCTGTGTCCACCCTCCCTAACCAGGCTAAGATTTTCAACGTGCAAAAAAAAGGTTCTTGGATGGAAAGGGAGGTGCTGAGTTTTTCCCCTTGCTGGGAGATCAAAAACTCTTGGCTGGATCCCAAGGACCCGCAGAAGGAAGGAGAAGGGACCGCCTCACCCAACGAGAGGCGCTCCTGGGTCTTGCTCTTCCTCGAGCACCCATAGGGTGGCAGGACCTTCATCAGGCCAAGCAAAACAAACCCAAACTGTGCCAGCCTTGGAGCGTCACAGATCTCTTTGCCAGGGAGGATGTTATGGAAAGCAGGCAGTGAAGCCTTCACCGATCAGCCTGGAACCGCACAGAACGCCTCCAGTCATGGGTGTGCCCAGTGCCATCATGGCGACACTGGAATCTGACCCAGGTCCTTCCCGAACCCTCCAAGTCCCTCTTGGTTCGTGGGGCGCTTGACCTCCCCTCAAGCCAAATCATTCAGCCAAAGGCTCTCCTGGCCCTTTGGAAGTTGGGCCGGGGAAGTCCCTCCCCTGGACGTTCGGCAGCCGGGGGGGCCTGATCCAGGAAACACACGTCCTAGCCTTTCAAGTACAGAAATTCATGCAGTATTGTACACATCTCTTTCTACAGTATGAGGAGGGGATGTGTGTGTGTGTGTTTGTGTGTGTGCCTGTGTTAAAAAGGGAGAAACTGCGGAGAAGTCCCCCTCCCCCTTCTTGGTTGGCACACAGCTCGAAGGGAGAAAGGAAAAAAGTGTGGCCTTCAGCTGCCCTCCCGGGTTTTAGTCCGAAGGAAACGAAAAACGAGCCGCCAAGGCGTGTTGTTTTTGGCAAAGAAAACAGGTCTCCTCGACCCTTCCTCCCCCCCCCATGTTCAACCTCATCTTTCTTTTTTAAATTAAAAAAACAATACCAAACCCCGCAACAGGCATGAGAGGCTGGGCTCAAGGTTTCTTTGGTGCTTTGCCCAGCGCTCCCGACAAAACCCCACGTCATCGTGAGAACCAGGAGAACACCCCCCCCCCTGGGTGAGGTGGTTTGGCGGGCATCCGGGGTGGCCCCTTCGGACCTCCAGCCTTAGGAGGAGGAGCCGATGGAATCCGAATGAAACGTCACGTACCCGGAGGACGGAGAACTGAGGAAGCTGCTGGTGCTGCCTTTGCTTCCGTTTTTCTGAAGCCCCCCCTGGTCCCCCCAGGAAGGGCTGAGACCGGTCCGAAAGCCTTCCGGCTCCGAGCAGGGGCTGCCGGCCGGCCGCTCTTCGGGCGGGGTCAGGGCCTCGCACAACTCAATGTGGATCTGCTCCAGGCCGGGGGTCTCGCCGGCGGGCCCGGTTTTGGGGAAGAGGGTCCTGGCATCCTCGTGGGCCAAGCGGGGAGCCGGCACCCGGAGGGAGCACGCTCGCTCTTGGGCCGAGAAGCGCCGGCGTCCCGGGGGCTCCCGCTCAAAGTGGGTCAGGGGGAAGTTGGCCGAAGGGTCCCGGAGGGCATCCGGGAGGCGGGAGACTGACGCCGAGCGCACAGGGGCCTTCCGCGGCGTGGGGAAAGGGCTGGTGTCGTCGATGAAGTTCACCACCTCCTCCTTGCTGAAGGCCCTGTAGCCTTGCTCCTTGGCATAGAAGTCTTCGCAGGAGAAGGGCCGGAGGGACAAGGTGCTCTCGGCCGACCGCCGGCGTTGCTTGCGGTGCAGGTGCCCGTCTTCCTGGTAGGAGAGCAGGCTGCCCCTCCGCCGGTGGTCATAGCTGTGCTGGGGCAGGAGGAGGTGGGCGAGGCTGGCCGCCATCTCCTCTCCGGCCCCCCAGTGTTGCAGGTATGCCGAAATCTGACTCGTTGTCCAGACATCCGTTTCATCGTGGGAGAAGCGCCGAGTGGGCGGGACCTGCGGCGGGACGGGAAAGCGGACACGTCACCACCGGACCAACGTGCAAAGAATGAACGGGCCAAAAACAGTGGAATTAAGAAGTCACGATGGAAATAAATAGAATTTGCCTGGAAATAACAACAATTGGCCTGGAATCATTGCAGCGAAGAAGACATTTATCATGAGATACCCAGATGAGTTTGCAAACAGCTTGTGACTGATTATTTGGTTTCATCCTGGTATTAACCCTTTACTGGGACCCTGTCTGCTACGACAGACCACGGAATCTGTTCTCTTTACCTGGGAGGTCTGTAAATCGTATAGGACTCCTGGAGGAGGTGTCAATTGTCCAAATCAGGATCTGATGTTTTGGCACTCAACTAGGGCTCAAGGGTCTTTGACAGTTTGGGGAAAATGGTAGGGCAGGTAAATATTTGCATTTACATGATTTTGCATTTACAGGCAAGAGGAGAAGGGGACGACAGAAGATGAGATGGATGGACAGTGTCATTGAAGCAATCAACATGAATTTGACACAACTACAGGAGGCAGTGGAAGACAGGAGACTGGTCCATGGGGTCATGAAGAGTCATACACGACTAAACAACGACATGATTTTTAATTTTTGTTAAGGATGTAAATGTAAATATCATCCTGCCGTATCATTTCTCCCGAACCTGTGACGTCCACCTGCTCCTCCTGGCCAAGGGCATTCCACCTGGAACGGCTCCCCATCCCCGGCCACACACCTGGAGGTACTGCATCTTGTCCTCGGAGGTTGACTTTGCTGGGTACGCCTGGGGGAGCCCTCTCTCCAGTGCCGACAAGTCGTATTTGGCCAGGTGGTCCAAAGCCTGGACGTCTCCGGTGTAGCTGTAGTCGTAAGGCCGCTCGTACAAGAGGTCTGTGTGGATGGCTCCATCGAGGCTGGTCTCTGGGGTCCCCAGGAGCAGAAAGAAGGGACAGAGGAAAGAGGAAAAGACGCAATCAGTGCCGGAGGAAGTCCCACAGGGAATCCGGATCCGTCCCCCTGCCATACAGAATGGTCCTTCAGCAGGACAAACTTAGGCAGCTAGGATTTTCTCCCTCCTGCTAGGGCACAGGACTGGGGTGGGGCTGGGGGCCCTGGACTTACCCCCCCAGCACCCCGAGACGGATGGAAATATACATATTTCTCTAGTGAACACTATACATAGCATGGTCTCTGGTTCCCTCTAGGGGCCAGTCCTAGTCACTTCATCTTTAGAAATAAATATTTCTGGGATTTTTCTTTTAACACTGTAAATTGATTTGAAGGATGCTGGTCCTGTGGATAAGATGGCCCTGCGGTATAACATTCAATCTTTTTGAAGTTAGCAACGAATGTCCACTGCATACATCGCTGTCCAATCCGATTAATTTGGGCAGCTGCTAGAACGTAAGATGAGGGTGCACTGGAAAGACCCCCCCGGGACACCCCAGTGAGAAAAGGATGTAACCTGAAAACATATGCTGGGAGAGACATGCTTGCATCATGCAAAAGATATTCTAAATTTAGCTTCCGTTGCAGAGAGCCTGCACCCCTGTTTCATTTATGCTTAGGAATACAGCTTCTTTGTCTTACAGCGCTTCTATAGATCGGCTGTTGGTAGGGAAGCCCCACTCTTCAGTTTTACCCTGGTTTTGTGGAAAATGTTTGGTTTAAATATGAAATATGTTCTACGCTAATGTTTTGAGCCATCCGATATGATGACTGACTCTGTTTTTTTCCCCCCTCACTCACTCGCTTTTTAATTCACTTCTTTCTCGTTTATTAAAGTAAGCCTAAAAAGAAAATAAAAGAAAGATGTGGGAGTAGGACTAACTCCAAAAAGCAAAGCAAGTCCTCTGGGGTAGAAAGTGTTGGGGTTTTTGCAGCCTCGCAGGCTGCCTGGAGAAGGTGTGGGTGGGAGGCACTTTTCCGGGCTGGGGTGGCTGTCAATCTACCCAGCACTAACCAATGGTTCCTGCCCTGTCTCTGAATTCAACAAGAGCCCCGCCTCGCTGCTCAGTGTCTCTTTCCCTCTCTTCTTCTGTAACTGAAAGCAGTCATGTTTGTCAGTTTGCTGTTGATCTGTAAGTCATGAAACATTTTTTTTTATTATTCTTTCTCGTCCTAAAGTCTCAGGGCGAGCTATTGAGACGGTCCTTGTAAGTTAATGAGAAAGGGGTGGTCTGTTTTTGGGAGTGGGTGGGACTTGAAGCTTTTCTGCTTTGTAAATCCTTGAACATCTGCTAAAGGAATTTAAATTGCCCCTCCCGCCCCCACCTCCAGCACAACTTGGGCCCCCACCGTCTCACCTTCCCCACTGTCATCGTTGGCCATGATGGTCACGCATTTCTCCCAGACCGAGCGGACGTCGGCTCGGTAGCGGTCACAGGCCCAGAGGAAGAGCGGGAGGAGGAGGGACTGCACCACCGTGCACCAGAGGACGCATAGCACCATCCAGTCATAGGCCGTGTCGGATTTCAAGCTGGCGATGCTCACCACCTGCAAGGCGACACCCGCGGAGGCTTGTAAGCCGCTATCCCTTGGGCAAACGGTTCTGTCTCATGGAGTTAGAGCACAAGGGGTGTGTGTGTCTCTCCATTAAAACTGGAGATTGGGACATCCAGGAGGGAGACAGGGAGAAAGAGATGCCCCCATAGCAACATGTCGCTTGACTGTGGAACTCACTGCCACTGGATGTCTTGACAGCTGTCCACCTGAACAGCTCTAAAAGGGAACCCGGTCAATTCAGGGAAGCCGATGCATTCCCAGCTGGCTTCCTGTTCGGCCTCTCGGGCCTCTCCCGATCTTTGCACGCTCAAACCTTCCCCCCGTCCTTTTTTAACCTCTTTGGATTTAAATCGAGAGATGCCCTGAAAGAGCGAGGCTGGGGAGGAGGGAACAAAAGACCAGGAGCCTCTCCATGTGTGTATATCCATCAAAAGGTTGCCTCTCCAGTTAATCAGCTTTTCATTAACCGCCAGGGTAAGCCCCATTCAAATGAACTTAATTTGATCTTTACAAATTGAGTCCACTGCGCCATCCCACAGGGCAAGGTCTCTCCTCTGTCGGACTTAAAGTGAAAAATAGCACAAGGCACAAAGGCCAGGCGGTATATGAGCGCACGTGTAGGGTAGATTTGGCAGAGAGCAGGTGGGTTTGGAGCGACCAGGAAAAACAATGTATTTGTGTCTTTATATATTTAAATAAAAGCCACCGATACTTGTGTTTCTCAAGACACAAGTATCGGTGGCCTCTCAGCTTTAAAACATGGGTTCCCTTCTGCCAGACACCTCTCAAAATGCATCAACATAAATTTATTTATTTGGCCACCTTTCTCTCACTCAGGGGCCCCACATGTTGATTTTAAAGGCCCTTTAAAAGTAACATTCAAAGCAAAGAAGGAAACGGGGCTTTTCAATCAAGTACGGATCTTGGTTCCTGTATGTGATTTCTGAAGCAGAACATCCTTAGACGTTAGCTCTTTCCTACCTTACAAATTTGTTGTGATGGGGCACGAGGAAGGAGAACTCCATACGCCACCGTGAAAGCCAGAAATTCATGGCGCTTCTTGACTTTTGGGCTTCCAGATGTTTCTGGCACGTGACCAAAAGGAGGGCTGGAGGTAAAGTTGTCGGGATTTGCAATTTCTAACTCTGTTTCCTTGTCCTGCTTCTTGCAGGACGTTCAAAGCAGGGAGATCGGTTGAAAGCACGTCCACCATCTCCCTCCCTGTTTTAGGGCTGAAACTATGTCAAAGATTCCTCCTCCTCCCCTCCTCTGGGATCCCCGGGGAGGCTCAGCACCTTTTCAAAGCAGAACCTGTCCGATGAACGCACACAGAGACCTTCCCGCTTGTCCTGAGCTACTTCGCTTGAGTGGTTTTAATTCTGATTCCTGGCTCTGGGGGACGTGAAAATGTTGGAAGCTGCTCTGTCGAAGCTGTTTCATGGGTTTCTCTGTCTTTAAAAATGCCAGACACCAGCTTAGGAAGGGAGCAGGGCTTGGAAAGTGTTTTTGGATGGGCAAAAGCTCCTGGTTGGGGAATGATGGGAGTTGTGATCCAAAGTCCCGACTCTAGTCTCTGGGAGATGCTTCCTGTTTCTTCCTTGGGGTGAAGGAAGGTGGGCAACGTCTTCTGGGTTTTGCAGTTTCAGCTGGAGGAAATTAGCTGATGGGTGCCAGACGAGGGGCAGATGCCGTATCAGCAAAAGAAGATTCCCCATCTGCCCCCATCTTTTCTCCCAGAATCCCCAGTGATGTGGCAACTCCTTCCGTCCCCTCTTTCTTTCTTTCTTTCTTTCTTTCTTTCTTTCTTTCTTTCTTTCTTTCTTTCTTTCTTTCTTTCTTTCTTTCTTGCTTGCTTGCTTGCTTGCTTGCTTGCTTGCTTGCTTGCTTGCTTGCTTGCTTGCTTGCTTGCTTGCTTGCTTGCTTGCTTGCTTGCTTTGGGGCAAATTCTCTTCTAGCTTTCACTTTGCTTTTCGGGGGGGGAAAGGCTATGGTGCTTAATGGGGTGAGCAAGCAGGCTTTAAAAGCCCGGGTGCTCCTCTTCACCACTTCTCACCGGGCACTAGGGCTTGTGGGGTTCAATGCAAATGGATTTTCACATGCGCTCCGTCGTGAGCAGCATCAGCCTATGAACAACCTAAGAGTGAGCAGAAGGGTCTCAAGGAAAGAAATCCAGCGAGTATATGCCCTTCCTAGATGCTGAGCTCATTGCTCTGGACATTTCCCCTTCTTGGCTATTTTCACGCCCTGTTCCACCCCTGATCTTCCTGCCTCTGTGACATCACAACAGCCAACCGCCATCATCCTCCGTTGCAAGCTGTGAGCGTTCAGGAACTGGGTGTAGCCGACTTGTCCAATGTACCAAGCAAAGACCATTCATTTCAAAATCCATATTAGTACGAGATGGGCATTAAACTAACTGGGCCTAATTAAATTAGTCACCGAGCCTTAGGCAAGAAGGACGAAGCAGGGTGTGGGAACGCTTTGCACATCCATAACCACGAAGCATTAATGTTGCCATGGAAAGCAGTGAGCTAAAACCGAAAGAGGGGGATTTTCTAGCCTCTGAAAATGTGGCTTTACTTTTTCAAGGCTTATAACCATCATCCTGTTACGTCGCCAACCTGATGAAACAGAGTCTGGATGACTTATGTCATGACTTACTGTGATGTGTGAACATTTCTGGTGTATGCAACAACTGACAGGTAAGCACACTCCTAGAGCTGCAGAGCTTGAAGGGACCCCTCAGGATCATCCAGTCCAGCCCCTGTCAAGGAGGCACCACAAGGATTCGAACTCCGAACCTCTGGCTCTGCAGTCAGAAACCTAAAGCACTGAGCTATCTGGGGGATGGTCAACCACCAGGAAGAATTTAACTAGGTCATCCCAAAGCTGGCAGGGATGGAGCTGTTGATTGTTCTGGAAGCCGAACGAACGGAGATGCGCTTCATGAATTATCCTTCTGCATCATCCTGGCCATCCGCGGTTTAGGAGAATCTGGTGCAAGAAAGAATGTGTCGGGTGAAATCCATCTTGCCCAGAACTTCTGGACTTTACATCTCAGAGTAACTTCCCTGGCAAAATCGACCTTGCCACGAACTTTTGGACTTTTAAGTTCTTCACACGCCTGACGAAGTGGTTTGAGCCACGAAAGCTTGCATCTTGCATGCGGATTTTTTTTTTTAGTGGTCTGTAATGGTAACACCTATTCTTGCATTTGTGCTTGGATTTGCTCTCCACCAGGGCCCTTGAGTCGTTCTTTGGGGAGACAGGTTGGAAAATGAACGAGGACCGCACGGAAGGGGGTCACCCATCCTCCTTCGGGGACGGTGCCTCCTGGAAGCAGCTATGTTTAGCAGGAACTGTTCCAGCGGGTGACGAGGAGGTCCTGGGAATGGAGACGGGGGAGAGAGATATGCTTGGAATCCAGTCTTGGCAGGCACTCTGTTTTCCAAAGGGAGTCGAGGGCAGGGAGGGTCGGGTCCAAAGAATGACTAGCAAGCAAAACCAACCCCCGCCCCAACGCTCCCTGTCCAAAATAAGAATCAGCATGGGAATACCTGTGTTCCAAATCCCAGCTTTGTAGCTAGTCAGTCTTCTAACGTGCCACCAAGTTCCTTCCAACTTCATGGCAGCCTTCTGAATGAGCGACCTCCAAATAGCCTTACTCAGGTCTTGCTAACTCAAGGTTGTGGTTCCTTTAAGGAGTCAACCCATCTTGTGTTCACTCTTCCTCTTTTCCTACTGCTGCAGTCTTGTCCAAGAGGCCACGATTTCTCGTAATGTGCCCAAGGAAGCCGCCTCAGGTTAAGCCCTTCTTTGCTCCCAGGGAGAATTCAGGTTTAATTTGACCCATTTATTTCTCCTCCTGGCAGTCCATTCTTTCTGTAAAGCTCTCCTCCCGCACCATATTTTGAATGAGCCGATTTTTCCTGCCAGCCTTTTGACACTGTCCGTCTTTCTCCTTTCTACTCAGTAATTGGTAATATCATTGTGTAGCTCTCTTTGTTCCCAAGGGACTCCCCTCTTATATTTGCTGATCTTTTCTATTTCCTTCATTGCCACCTCTCCGAGCTTCATTTTTCTGATTCTTTTGGCTGAAGTCTCCATTTTGATTGAACCAAAGGGTTCAAAAATCTGTGACTATTTCAACTTCTTCATTGTTAGCATTAAAATTGTGTAGTTCTTTTGTAGCTGTGATTTTTGTCTTCTTAATGTTCAACTAGAATCCTGCTTTTGGATTTTCTTCTTTCATGTTCCTTGACAGTTGTTGTTAATCTAAACTTGCCGATCTGTAAGTTCTGAATTAAAGAACACCTTCACAGTATTCCTTTTTCATGACCACCTCGAAGTACTACCCAAACCAGAATTTGGTTTCTACAGAAAGACCGCACAGAGACTTCTCTCTTTTAATACACTGCAAAGCAGCGAGTTCAAATCCTCTCACTTGAGACACACAAGGACACACCAACAGCTGACAACAGCACCTCTTTTTCATTCTCAGGGTTTATGTTCTCCGAAATCTCTGACAAAACACCTGATGCGGATAACTTTTACGTCCCTTGCACTTTTAAATCAAACTGATTTGAACCACAACTTAAATTTAAGTAAATCAGATTTTTTGATGATTTAAATTTGTTTTTAAAAAATCCATTTCTAAATTGAAATCAGGGTTTAAATAAATAGATTTTTAAGAATGTCAATTTTACCCCCACCCCACCCCCCGCTCGCATGTCCATCTATTCCTGGCATCATCTAAAAGCAGAAAGGCAACAAGTAGGCACAGAAACGCCCCCCTCCCCCTGATGGCTATGGAATCTCTGGACATGCTCTGGCTGCCCAAAAAGGCAGGATTCAAACCCATGGCTTCAAATGATAAGAAAGCAGATTGAGGCCTAACATTAGGAAGAGGACAAGAGCCATTCTATAACTGAGTTGAACCCCCTCCCTTGGAAAAGTATGGCATCTCTTGACAGGGGAGGCTCTCAAGGAGAGACCAGAAGACTACCTGTCAGGGATGCTTTGACAGCGGCTTTCTTGCACTCAAAGGGGCTGGTCTAGATGACCTCTGGATGTCCTTTCAACAATGCAGCTCTTTGATTGTAGGGTGAAAGCTGGGACCCCCTCCCTGTGCTTGACCACAGCACTGCCCCCCTCCCTTTGTCCTGAGTTTTCCACTTGGACCCACGAGATGCTTCTCAGCTCTACGAATCTGTACCCCACCCATCAGCCCCACCACTTCATTCATTCATTCCCCCAGGCACCACACTCGATAGACAGACAGGTGCAGTGGTGAGACGGTCGGATAAGGGCTCGAGAGATCTGGATTCAAATCCCCACTTAGCCAAGAAATTCCGTGGTGACTTAAGCCAAGTCAGCCCACCCAACCTGGCATAGTTGTTGTGAGGGGGGGGGAGGCCTGTGCTTGACCACAGCACTGCCCCCCTCTCTTTGTCCTGAGTTTTCCACTTGGACCCACGAGATGCTTCTCAGCTCTACGAATCTGTACCCCACCCATCAGCCCCACCACTTCATTCATTCATTCCCCCAGGCACCACACTCGATAGACAGACAGGTGCAGTGGTGAGACGGTCAGATAAGGGCTCGAGAGATCTGGATTCAAATCCCCACTTAGCCAAGAAATTCCGTGGTGACTTAAGCCAAGTCAGCCCACCCAACCTGGCAGAGTTGTTGTGGGGGGGGGGGAGGAAAAGAGCCACATCCACCTCTTGAGCTCCTAACCAAAACACACACACACACACATACACACACACATAGAAATGTGAAAGAATGCCAGATCAGTGACTCATGCAGAGGCACTCAAATCAACCTCCCTTCAGCACCTCTTGCCTTTCTGAATCAGTGAGATTGGCCTAAATGTATATCCTTTGCAGAGAGGAAATGTTGATATTTTAATGCTTTTAATGCTTTAAGACTTTGTTTGTAATGTTTTTATGTATGTAAGCCGCCCCGAGTAGACCTGGTCTAGGGGGGTGGGGTATAAATCTAATTAAAGTAAAGAGATGGGAGAAAGGAAGGCCAGAACAGCAAATCATGCAGAGGTGCGCCAACCACCTCCTTAGCCAATGAGTGCTTGGCAGCAGAAGGAAAAACAGAAAACTAACTGGAAGGACAGATCCTGAAGCTGAGGCTCCAATCCTTTGGCCATCTCATGAGAAGAGAAGACTCTTTGGAAAAGACCCTGATGTTGGGAAAGTGTGAGGGCAAGAGGAGAAGGGGACGACTGAGGATGAGATGGCTGGACAGTGTCATCGAAAAGACCAACATGAATCTGACCCAACTCCAGGAGGCAGTGGAAGACAGGAGGGCCTGGTGTGCTCTGGTCCATGGGGTCACGAAGAGTCGGACATGACTTAACAGCTAAACAACAACATTAAGACGAGAACAAGAGACCTGTAGCCAGACTCACCAGCAGAGGGAAGCCCATCAGGAAATCGTAGATGAAAACGATGCCGGTGATCAAATAGGTGATCTGGAGGGACGTCTTGATGGGCTCCGATCCGTCAATGGAAGAGCGGCGCTTGCCCTGAGCGTCCTCCACCACGATGGTGGGGACGTTGAACTTGTGCTTGTCCACGGCGTTCCCTGCCTGGATGGAGAAGGTCTGGAAGAGGGTGATGGCCACGCAGACCACCCCCATGGCCACGCTCCCGCTGATCAGCAGCAGGAAGCAGACGCCGAAGCCCAGCCCGATCTCCGTGACGATGAAGCGGCAGTCGGCGGCGTAGAAGCGCTCGGCGGTGTCGTGCCAGCCCACAGCCGGCAGCGTGGAGAGGATGAAAGACACCATCCAGATGCCCATGACGGTGTGGACGGCCTGCTTCTTCGTATTGCTTAACCTTTGCAGGGGGAGGAAGAACAGCATAAGTCATTCCTCCCATGGGAGTGACCTTCGATCTCTCCTGGCTAACCTCGACCAACGAGTTCCTTAGCCCTCGAAAACAGTCTCACCACCTGCCCTTTCCTCCAATGGGACTGAATCTCTGGCTTCATAGAACCACAGAATAAGGGAGTGGGGAAGGGTCCTCTTAAGGCCATCCAGTCCAACCCCCTGCTCAAGGCAGGAATCCACGTCAAAGCCAATCAGACAGAAGGTTGTCTCATTTTCTCTGCAGTGCCTCCAGCCTTGGAGCGCTCACCCCCTCCCGAGGTTATGGGTCCTGTTGTCGTACTGCTCTAACTGATATTCAAGCTAATATCTGGCTTTCTGTCACTTGAGCCCCTTCTTGTGCACGCTGAGATGATTGGGAACGGATCCTGCCCTCTTAAAAACAAAACCCCACAATCTCCCCAGGTGTGTGCGTGTGTGTGTGTGTTTGTGGAAGGAAGAAAGCCTCCGCCTCAGGAACCTTGGCCAGAGCTTTGCGCAAGGAAAACTTGCCCGGAGTTAAGCATGTCACAGATATTCACATTTTTCTCTGCTTTGACAAAAAGGGGGAAGAAAAGGGGGAGAGATAAACGTCTCAGCACATAGAGACATTCTGTCAAATAGTGTCTGTTTTTTGAGGGTTTTTTGTTTGTTTGTTTCTGCCACAAGAGAAAAAGAAAGCCAAAAACAAAACTCAAGGCTTCTCCTCCTCCTCCTTAGCAGAAGCATTGACAAAAACCCTATAAATTTTGTGTTTTAAAAATGCCTTCTGTCTAAAATAAAAAATAACTGCATGCCATCAAGATGATTCTGGCTCATGGTGACCCTTCCCAGGGTTTTCTGGGCCAAATAGACTCAGAAGTGGTCTACCCTTCCCTTCTTCTGGGGTTGCCCTGGGACGGTGCAGCTGGCCCAAGGCCACCCAGGCTGGCTCTTCTCCCGGTGGGGAATCGAACTCCCAACCTCTGGCTCTGCAGCCAGAAACCTAACTCCCTGAGCTATCCAGAAGTTCATTAAGGATCCTCCTCAGCGGCGTCATCATGCCAGAATGCTAGAGCTGGAAGGGACCCTACGGGTCATCCAGTCCAGCCCCGCTTGACGAGGCCCAGTGGGAGGATTCAAACTCCCAACCTCTGACCCCACAGCCAGAGACCTGAATGGCTGAGCAGCCCAGCCAGCTCTGTCCGAACAAGCTGTCTTTCCAGGAGACACCTACGGTTTGCAGGAAAATCTCCGTCTGCTAATGTTCTGCAGGGAATGACCCAGAGGGAGACAAAGGCACCAAATCCATCACCCTCCCACCTGGTGGACAGAAAAAGCTCTTAAACATTCTCTTCCCAGCCCTGGGAACGAATTCTGCAAAGCCTACCTATAGTTGACCGGCCAGCGCACCATCCACATCCGATGGTAGGAGAGCGAGGTGACCAAGAAGCAGGTGACGAGGGTCAAGGTATAGAAAGTGGAGACGAAGACTTTGCAAAGGCCTTCGTTCCATTCGTAATCGGAGTGCAGGCGGCGCAGCTGGATGACGGCGTACATGGTGACGGGAATGGCCACGTTAAGGACGTGCGTCCCTGCCAGAGTGCAGATGAGGAATTCCAGCGGCTTCCATTTCTTCTGCTTGGCGCTCACGCTCAAGATGCCCCAGGCGTTGGCCAGGAGGGAGAAGCCGGAGCACGCCAGCCAGGCCACTGCATTGTTGTGCAGGAGGCGTGCATCATTCATGATGGAGGATGATGAGCCAGGAAGAAGCCAGGGAGAAGAGGCATCCTACAAGCCAGCCGGCCCCGTCGAGGGTGCTCCGAGGGAAGGGCAGGTCCCATCAAGGGGGTGAGGGGCCCCCGGGGACAGAGGGGACGTCAAGGCCCATGGGTCTGGAAAAGAGGAGAAACGGCAGCTGCACTCGTCACAAAGGTGGGCTCTTAAGGGTGACCTCAGCCTCAGCAGGAGACCGCACCAAGAGCACCCGCTCAGGACTCTGGAGAACAGGGTTCGAATCCCCCACTCGGCTATGGGAAACTCGCTGGGGGAGGTGGAACTGGAAAAAAAACACTCCTTAAATATTTCACTTACCTTCAAAGCCCGGTTATGGCAACACAGAACATGCACCCTTAAATATCTCACTTACCTTCAAAGCCCAGTTATGGCAACCGCTATAAGTTGGTTCCAACACAGAACATGCATCTACAAATTAGTGGATATAAATACGAGCCAATTAAAAGTCTTCCTTGTGCTGTCTTTTGAGGCGCTGAGTGAGCGGTCACTGCATTTAGGCACAAATACAGGCACACCCCCTTTTTTTCCAGGCCCCTTCAAGAGGCCCAGAAGGATAAGGCGATCAGCCGAAAGCTGGAAAAGTGAGAAGGGGGCTCCTGTGGGAAAGATCCGCTATTTACTTGCCGCAGCTGAGAGTCGTGGTGAGCATCGCACCCACACATTGGAGGTGTGGAGGAAAGGCTGTGTGTGTATGTCTCTCTCTCTCTCTCCCACTCTGCTGGCAGGCAGGCAGTCGTCTACCGGGAAGGCTTAGGGGGTTGGAGCAGAGCATATGGTTTGGGGAAGTGGTGGGAGGAAAAGGCTGGCAAGTGTGAAATTGTGGAGGAGAGGGAGAGGGTGTTGAGACAGTCATGGCTGGAGAAGAAGGAAAAGATGTCAAACGGAAGAGGGGGAGACAAGCAGGAAGAAAAATTAGGGGGAAAAAACACAGCAAGGAGTTGGGGGACTTCCTCGCAAGAAGGAAGGTCATCCATCCATCCCCACCCCCCAAAAAGAGGACAGCAACTCCAAGGACAGCGGGGCAGCAAATCCGCTGCGGGTTTTTGTCCGAAGTTTGCAGGAGGTAAGAGTGGCAGAACCTGTTTTGCAAAAAAAAAAAAGTTTCAGCACCTCGGAGAGCTCATATAACATTTAGACTGACATGGGAACCACTGAGTCCCAATCCAGGCCGGGATTGTCAGAAACCAACTGACCTGACATCTTGGTGCTGCCTAGAGTGTGTACTCGGGCTGAAAACTGGACCCCACCCAAAAGTTGCCCACCCCTGTTTTAAGCCAAAATGGAAGCTGTGGGATCTCCTCAAGGGCCAAAAGGTAAACCTTTTAATGATGCCAGTTCTTGGGCCCTTTTATAAGGAGAAAGACGAACTAAAACATTTTAAGGGAGGTGGCACTCCAGAACTGAGTCACATATTTTCCCTCCTAGCTCACTAACTTTTGGAGGGGGCTTTTGGACTTTTAATATGGGGTGCTTGCCCACCCGCCAAAGCCAAAAATCATCAAGGGACAAAGTGATAGGAAAAGGGGTGCAAGGCGATCCGCAGATAGTCAAACGGGTATCCCAGGAGAGTCAGAGCATCCTAACTTTGTAGTATAAATTTGAAAGAAAGTCTAGGGTTGGTGAGTGAGTAAGGTGAGCCACCCCCCATACCTACAGCCCGATTCCACCCCCCCACACCACCTTGCTCCTCTTATAATGCAAGGGATTTTTGGGTGTTGAACGTGACAAGGGCGGAGAACAGCTTTGGAGGAGCAGATCCTGTCACACCTCCTCTTCAAAATAAACGCCTGCCTCACGATTCCCTATTTCCCCTCCCTTCTCTTTCCCACCCTTGCAGAAGGCAAGGGGGGGGGGAAGAACTAAGAAAAACACCGGCCCTCCGACCTTCAGGACGTGACATTATCTGTCGGGCGTGTGATTTAATGTTTCTTCTGCAAAGCTTCCTCCAGCTCTCAGCCCGGCTTAATGAAAAATGTTGCTGGTTATTTTTACTTGAGTTTGAAGGGGGCGCTTCCTAAGATCGAGGGCAGGGTGGGGTGGAGGGAAAGTGAATTTAATCTGAAGTGAAACCATATTCGGTGGAGGAAAAGAGTCAATGCCCGTCTTAATGTTCTTCTGCTCCACCCTCCTTGCACGGTCGAAAGATCCTTATTTGAGGGACAGCAAAAGGTAAGGGAGGGTGTTCCTTATTGGTCAAGAACCGAGGCGGTGTGGTACAATGGTTGCAGTGTCCAAGATAAATTTGGGAGACACGGGTTCAAATCTCCCCTCAGATGCAAAGCTGGATCATCCAGCACCATTGACTATCTCCAGGTTTAACCCAGCTTTATGGATTATTGTGAGGACAGATCTTTGGCAAGAGGTCCCCACCATGAGGGGTCCCGGATCTTGGGAGGCTGGACAGAAGAGCAACGTTGCCTCCCCTCCAGGATTCTGGGATGCTCAGGAGTCTTCTAAAATGACCACATAGCCAACATGCCACCTTCTCTGTTATTTCAACTCAGTTTCAAATCATGTTCTGCTTGCCCTTTCATCTTCTCAAGAGCCCTGCAAGGTGGAACCAGTCCAAGTGGACCGAGGTCTCCTGGTGAGTTTCTGAGCTCCACGAGGACAACAATCCCTGAATCCCCTTATTCAACACACCAGAACAAACACTCTTAACTGCTACACCGTGTCGGCTATTTTCCCTTTGGGTCAGCTGGCCGGTGTCTCTCCAACGGCCCCCCCTGATGCAGATTCCTAAATACCTTGTCGTCCACAGCCATGTTACGGACGGCCACTCTGTGGCTCTTTCACCCCCACGAGGCCCCAGGTGGGAAGCAGCCGTTTCCAGCAGAAACCTACCCAAAGGCGTTGGCATCCGACCCATGCGGGGTCTAACCCAAAACCAGCCCGAGAACAGGAGACAGGAAGGGTCGGCTTGCCAGATGCAGGCACAGCTGGGCAGAGAGCGGACATCCGGGGTTGATCAGATGCACACATTTCTGCCACGGGAGTCCGGGATCATCCTCCCTCTTCCTCCAGACCCTCCCCCAAATCATCACCTCTCTTTCCCCATTACCATGACAACATGCACATCGCCGGGGTGGGGGGAGAGATAAATATAGCTTTGGGTACCATTCTGGTGCAAACCATACAAGGGCGGGGGGGGGGAGAGATAAATATAGCTTGGGGTACCATTCTGGTGCAAACTAGGGACCTCGCTCCCCCTCTCTTGGCCTCACGTACAAAGCTCCCCTTACGTGCCAGAGATCCCACCCTGCCCGCACCCAAACCGAGCCACATGCATGCACGCACGCACGCACGCACATCATACACTCACACACACACATGCGCGGTGTCAGTCCTCTGTAGAAAGGAGGGAGGGAGAGGGTGCAGAGAAACTCGCCAGGTTCCAGAGGTGAGGAACTTGAAAGACGCATACCTTGCAAGCCGACTCTGCTGGAAAAGGAGGACGGAGGAAGAAGACCCAGCCCCGGGAAAAGGGGGCCCAGCCAGAGAAGCTGCAAAACAAGGGGAAGGCCTGGCCAAGAGGGCAGCAGGTCCCCAGGAGCCCACCAAAGCAGGCCGCCAGGGAGGGGAGCTCCCGGGCCACAGTGCCCCGACCGCTCCAAAGCTCAAGGCCGGATCAAGGTTGGCCGCAGTTCGAAAGAAAAAAACACAGCCCTTATGGAAACCCTCTGCGAGTCACGGAATCCAAAGCAGGGAGTCCTGTCACACAGGGTAGAGAGAGAGAGAAGCACTAATACAGCGGTCGCCTCCAGTGTCCTGGAGTTCCACTGGAGGGCTTTTATAACTGGGATGCGGGAGCCCCACTCACCTGCAAGCGTTTGGCCAGGTGGTGGTTGGTGGGAAGAACTCAGCCTAGGAGGAGGCCCTTGGGTCTGCCAGGGAGGAAGAGCATCCTCTCGAGGAGACCTCTACTCCTGAGGAGCCCTTTCCTCTTCTGGAGTTTCAGGCCTTTTATCTTAACTTTACCCTCCTGCCTTCAGCCTCCTCCACTCTCTCCTCCACCTCTGATTCAGCCCTGGTGCACCTGATATCCGGGAACATGAGCTCTCGGCTCCCCGAGGGGTCAGGGTGGGGCTGAGCATTCTTCCGCCCTGGTGCACCTGATATCCGGGAACATGGGCTCTCGGCTCCCCGAGGGGTCAGGGTCAGGGTGGGGCTGAGCAGTCTTCTGCCCCTGCTGGGTTCCGGTTCATTTAACAGAGATGTGATGCACGGCTGGGCCAACCCACTGGCCCTGATTCCCAAGCATCCTTTCTGACTCTCGCAGCCGTGCAGAGGAATCTTGGGCCACCCAGGTATTTGGACAACAGCTCCCATTAGCCCCTCCCATTATCTGGGGGATGACGGGGCTTGTAGTCCAACATGAAAGACGAAGAAGGACAAGGAGAACAAGAGGGAGAGGGAGTGAAAACCCGTGGAAATGGGTAGAAAGCAGGCCCCTGACCCTTTCATTCACTCATGAAATTCCACAGGGAATAAGGCAGTGTCGGGAGTGAAAACCCATAGAAATGGGTAGAAAGCAGACCCCTGACCCTTTCATTCACTCATGAAATTCCACAGGGAATAAGGCAGTGTCCAATAAGGCAGTGGTCCCCAACCTTGGGCCTCCAGATGTTCTTGGACTACAACTCCCAGAAGCCTTCACCACCACCACCTCTTCTGGCCAGGATTTCTGGGAGTTGAAGTCCAAGGACATTTGGAGGCCTAAGGTTGAGGACCACTGCAATAAGGAATGGACCCAAATAATAATCTTAGAATAATCATCCTCTTAGAAGGGCAGAGCTGGAGGGGACCCTGCAGATCCTTGAGTCCAACCCCTCTCAAGGAGGCCCAGTGGGAGAATCGAACCTCCAACCTCGGGCTCCACCGCTGGGCGGCTCAGCCGCTGAGCTATCCGGCAGTTCAATCATTTACGACACCTTCTGAGGTTCTAAGCTTGTTCTAGGTCAGGCGCATAGCAAGCCACAGGCTGCTTTCCCATCACGAAGCAAATGTGTGCTTTCTGGTCTCCTCCTCCTTCGCATCCCTTTTGGAGAGGTGCTTTTTTTAAATTCAAGTGTGCACGTGCACATTTCAACACATCTGTTCATCCATGCACAATCCCCAGATGTACACCTACATCAAACACCTACTTTGGGACGCATCATCTGATTGCGTACCTGTGAATGTACAGATTCTTAAGCGCGGGTGCCTTGCGGGTCAGCCTTTGGTTCTGGAAGTGGATAGATTCTGATCCAAACCAGACTGAACTACAAATTTCCGAGGACAAAACCGCGACCATTTAAGTGGAATCAAATTGCTATCACTGTGTTGTGAAAATACGCTCCAAATCACAGGCATATCTTTCTGCAAGGTAGTTAGAGGAGAATATCCCCTGCCACCAAATATGGAAAACTAAACAATGGCCCACAGACTGGAAACATTCAATGTACATTCAAATCTGCAAGAAAGGAGATGCAAAGGAGTGCAGGGCCATTGCTCTGATTTCCCATGAAAGCAAAATGATGCTCAAGGTGTTGCAACCAAAGCTTTTACCTCATATGGAGGGAGAAATGCCTGATGTTCAAGCTTGATTACGAAACGGAAGAGGCACTAGAGATCATATTGCACATATCCACTGGCCATTGGAGTGCATCAAAGAATTTCAGAAGACCCATCTATGCTTTATAGACTACAGCAAAGCCCTTGACTGTGTGGATCATAAGAAGCTTGTTCTGAAAGAAACGGTTGTGGCTCAGCACTTGATTGTCCTAGTGTGTAACTTATAGGGTGGAGAAGAAGCTACCATTAAGATGGAATACGATGAGACAGAATGGTTTCGTACAGGCAAAAGTGTCAGACATGGGTGCGTTTTATTGCTTTATCTATTCAATCTGTATGTAGAACATATTGTACGGAAAGGTGGACTAGACTCAGAGGAAGGAAGAGTAAATGGCGGAAGAAACATTGTTAGTTTCAGATATGAAGATGACACCATGTTACTGGCAGAAAGCAGCAACTGCGTGAAATGACTGACAGGGAAAGCGAAAGGAGAAAGTGCTAAAGCAGGACGAGGGGACAAAAATAATGACTACAAAATAACTACACAGCTTTAGCATTGACAGTGAAGAAATTCAAATTTGCAAGATTTTGTACATCTTGGTTTAATCATCATCAATCCAAAGGGAGACAACAGTCCAGAAATCAGAAGAAGACTGAGACGCAGAAGGATACCAAGGAGGGAACGAGAAAAGATTCTCATGTGTAAGGCTGTGTCTCGGGTGACCAAGGCCATCTACATTCTTGTATTTCTGATCACCATGTACAGATATATAAGCCAGCAAAGGGGAAAAAATTGATTCATTTGAAATGTGGTGCTGGAGGAAGGCTGCCAGAAAGACAAACAAGTAGATCCTAGATCAAATCAAGCCGTATGCTTTTCTAGAGGGGGGAAATGTTGGAATTGAGGCTGGTCTTCTTTGAGCACATCAGGAAAAGGCAGGATTCTCTGGAAGAGACAATCATGCTGGGAAAAGTTGAAGGCAGCGGGAAAAGAGGGAAACCATGTGTGAGATGGATTGATTCTCTAAAGGAAGCCACAGGCTTAAGTTTGTAAAAGCTGAACAGAGCCATTGAAGACAGGGCATTTTGGAGATGGCTCATTCATGGGGTCACCATAAATCAGAGGCTACTTGAGGGCACATAACAACTGCATCACTGGCAAAGGGTTCTAGGAATTGAAAGGTATCAGAGCACTGTACATTGGCTTCTCTGGGCCCCACACGTCAATGGGGAGGCAATAGAGAAATGTTGATCATGGACTGAGTTAAGAAAGCCGATCCAAAGCAGGGTGGCCAAGACACAGAAGTGTCTGGTCACCAAACTCCGTGGGGAAGGGTTTTGTCCAGTGGGCCTGCATTGCTGGATGAGGACAAGATTCAGAAGGGGTTCAGAAGGAGCAACGCAAGAAAGGGAAGGGAGACTAAACACTAGAAAGTGTTTCTCTATGGAAAAACCTGTAGGACAGTGGGAATGAACTACATGGGTGACCACCGGTCAGCGATGTTGGGAGCTGTGAAGTTTCTGTGTGGGCAGCAAAGGGGTTGGACTTGATGACCCTTAGGTGCCCCTCCAAACTCTGAATTCTCCCTGTAACATCACAGTTCTGCGGTTGTGTGATACAGAAACACTCTGTTCAAATAAGGCACCCCCACCCTCACCCTTCAGGCTTTCCCGCTTCTCCAATGGGTTCTGCGTTCGAAACCCAACTGGAGAGCGGGTCTAACTGAAATGGCGCCACCTGCGCCCAAAAGCATGGCTGAGAGGAAACGGCGCACAGGCCGCAAATGTAAGCACATGGCGTTTGAGCGAACGCCTGGGAGATGATTATGCCTCTTGGGTGAGTAATGGATCTTTCACACACTCCAGAAATATAATTGATAGCCAGGCGGGAGCTGCGTGGGGCTGCCTTTTGTTCCCGGGGAAGTGGCAATTACGAAAAATAATAATTAAGGGGCAGATTTGCCGAGATTTATTGTCTGGGGTGAGGATATGGCTCCCTTTGACTGGCAGAGGCGATTGCTCTGCCTTTCTCACTGAGGTCTTTGAAGACTGGAGAAGCTTTCCTTCGGAGAAGGGTGAGCCCTCCAGAGAACGAACCCTGGATTGCACCTCCCATCTTCCTCACTGTTGGCTATGCACGCTGGGGCTCATGAGAGTTGTAGTCCAGCAAACCAACTGAATATCTACAGGATGTCTGCCCTTACTGTAGAGGCTTCACGTGTTTAGTTTTGAACTACAATTCCCAGAATCCACTAGGCAGCATATTCTGGGAGTTGTGAGCCAGAACCACAGATCTAGTTGCCTCTAACTGTAACACAGACGGACACATTATATGCCAACCTCTCAGAGAATCACTCTTTCGAACCCAAGACACCAACTGCGTAGACAGATATCTTATTTGTTAAAGGGATTTTGAGTCCGTTGTGGGAAGTGAGGGAAGGGAAGGTCTCATGATTGCACAGGGACTTTTAAGCAGCCTCCCTCCGAAGTTAGCTGAGCTGGTTGCTTTTCACCTGCTTTGTAATGAGATTGGAATCTCACAAGCATGTGCAGAGTTCCTTGTAAGAGGATGCATTAGCATTGCAAAGAACTCCTTTGGCCATCAGAAGCACATGTTTGATATTAAAGAAAAAGGAATGGAGGCTATTTCTTCCCTATCCATGAGAATTTAAGACAAACAAAAACTAGGATCATAGAAGGACGGTTCCTGTCTTAAGAATTCAACGCTGTCTGCCATGGAGGTGATCCCCAGTCAGAAACACTCATAGAATAATGGTTTTCACTGCTGTGATTGACGCTGTTGCACGTTTATCAGTATGCATAAACAACAGGATTCAGGTGGACTTCCGTAAGAAAACAGCCGACTAGTCCAGCTTACTTGGTTATTGGTAAGGAGGAGGGTGGAGGATAAAGGTGGTAGAAGAGACTGGATTGAAACTAAGGTCATTGTTTCTTCCTGAAAGTCTCTGCGGGGATCCAGAGTCCCAGACACACTAGGTGGCGCTGTTGAGCTTTACGATCATTGCAGCAGTAAAGCAATTCGGGTCCAGAGGTCCAACATCAAGACCCAGAAGGAGGGAAGGGAGATCATGGACCCTCCTTGAAGGTGCCCATGATCCACAGAGATCAGCACCTGGGCAGCAAAGTCAACCACAGGCACATGGGTCTCCTGGTCACCATCTCCCCCAATCAGGTGTG